CCTTGCTATGTCATTTCCTGTGTGGGTCATCACTTCTCTACTACATTTCCCAGAATCCTCTTTGACTCCAAGTCCCGTCTACTTGCTGTCTCATTGGCCAAACAGTATTTTATTTAACAATCAATAAGATAAACATACACAGTACATTCCCCATCAGATAGTACCTACTTCTTTCCCATAGCACTTGAGTGAACACAAACCTGTTCCGTGCAAGGGCACGCAGTCCCCTAAACAGCTTTGATTAGGAATTGAATGAGTTGTAGCAAGATCATCCTTCTGGTTTAGGAGTCTGAAATGTTGAAGCCATTGTGGTTCTGTGAAGGGAGCTTCCTAGGGGCTGAAGTCAGTACAGCTGGTTGGTGGTGATGAGAGTGCTGCAGAAGGAGGAAGCCAGGGCACCAACCTTGTGTAGTGCCTGCAGTGGTCCACTAATTTACTGAGGAAGCCACTGCAGCATTTTCTTCATCATTGTCTGTTTTGTGAGAAGCAAGCCTCGGGTAGTTAGAAATGACTGGTCTTCATTTCTTCCCATTCTATCACTTATTTTTGGCACAGCTGTAACTTAAATTCCTCACTCATAAAAGTGTTAGCCTGTAAGCTGACAGTGATGGCACACACCTTTAATCTCAACACTCGAGAGGCAGAGGCTAGTGGATCTCTGTGAGTTCAAAGTCAGCCGGGTCTTCAGAGTGAGTTCCAGGTCAGCCAAAGTTACACAGAGAAACCCTGTCTTGAAAAACAAAACAAAAACGTGTCAGCCTGTGTTAGAAACCGTCTATGTTGGAACTACTACCACAAGGGGTAGGGCACTTGACCAGGGTGCATTGTGATTGAGTCTGTAACTAACCCAGGCACTGAGCAAAGCGTAACAACTCTGTTTCTGATGATGTCAGTGCCTCTCTGATGTACTAGAATGTTCTCAGACACCTCTGATTCACAAGTCATATTCTGAAACTGGCCCTGTTCACCCCAGGTACTACTTGGACTAACATATTGGTTTCTTTCAATAAATCACATTTCCACCCACCTATTTTGCCATTATGCCAGGAGAGCTTGGCTTCATTTTTTTTTTTTTTAACTTATTGATTCTTTGTGGTTTTCACATCATTCATCCCAGGCCCACTTATCTCCCTGTCCCCTTGACCTTGCAACTTCTCCCCAAAACAAAACCAAATTTAAAAGACAAACCAAAAACCAAACAAAACTAAGAACCAAAACAAAAATAAAAACCAAAAAATGAAATAAACAAACAAAAAAGCTCCCCAAAAGAACACTCTTGTCGTGGAAGCTATAGTGTGGCCAGGTGAGTGACATAGTTTATCCTTTAGTCTATACATCTTTACTTGCAATGAGTCATTGGTCTGGTTCGAGGCCTCTGGTTTCTGCTACACCACCTACAATGGGCTCTCACTGGGGCTCCTCTTGGATATCCTGTAGTTGGCTTGTGTCATGGAGATCCTGCTGTTTGGGATTTGTAGGTTCATTCCCTTCGCACACTCCAACAGTTCATAGATGCGGTGGATGTTAGGTTGGGCCAACGCATAGCCCTGGTTCTGGGCCTGGATGGTAGCTGGGTAGGTCAGCTTGATAGCTTTCCCTCATCTTCACTATCCAGATGAGCACTCTAGCACTGCCCCTGCTAGTTCACCCAATGTAGCCTACAGCAAGGAGCAGGACCAGTTCTCTTGCTCTCATGCCCTCAGATCTGGGTCTCCCTCACTCTTATTGCCAGGGCCAGCTCTACTGTTTTGCCCAGGCAAGGGCCTAAGTGTGTGTGTGTGTGTGTGGGGGGGGGAGAGAGAGAGAGAGAGAGAGAGAGAGAGAGAGAGAGAGAGAGAGAGAGAGAGAGAGAGAGAGAGAGAGAGAGAGAGAGAGAGAGAGAGAGAGAGAGAGCGCTCCTGCTTTCTTGCCTTCATGGTTGGCTCACTTGAGTCCCTGACAACAGGGTCAGCTCTAGTGGGCTGCCTAGATGGGAAGTAGAGGCTGCTTTCTTGTGAGATGCAGCCATTGGGGTCAGGGCTAGTTCTTCTATTTTTGTGACCCCAGGGCCAGATCTCTTAGGTGGTAATGGGTGTGTGGGAGTCATCATTCCCTCACCCTTGCCACAACAAATGGGGGGCAGAGCCAACTCTCCTGATCTCATGCCCTCAGGGATGGCTCACCTGTGTCCACAACCACCACCAAGTTGCCTCTAGGTGAGGTGCATGCCTATGATGAGGGAAGGGGTCTGGGTTGGGAAGCAGGGTGGAGGTTGGGGAGGGGTAGAAAGGATGAGCTCTCCCCTGAAGGGTAGGGCCAGCTCACCTGGTGCAATATTCATCAAGGGGCAGGACCATCCATCCCAGGGCCAGTAAAGGGCAGGGCTGGTTTAGCACAGCACGATTCTAATGATCCTTATGCTAACACTTGCCATGGTCATCACTACAAACCCCGGTTGCAGCAGGGCGGCAGGCCCAGATGCCACCATGGCCCTTGAAGCAGGACAGGTCCCACAGATCAGCATGGCCCTGGCAGCAGCATGGCCCCTGGGCATCACCATGATTCCAGTTGGTACCTGAAGAGCTCTCCCTGGCTTCATACCATGTAGTCCAGATTGGCCTTAGACTCTCAATCCACTTGCCTCAGCTTCTGGGATTCTGGGGCCTCAGACACTATGCCTGGCTAGGTGTAGTTTTTTTTTTTTTTTTTTGTGCAGAGGCTGTGGTGCCGAGTGCTTTTGGCTCTTTTGCAGGGTTCTAATCCAATCTCCTGTCTTTCCTGCTCTTTGCCTTTCTTTCTCTCCTCTGTGGACCCCCCTTGCTGATTTTGGTAGGAAAAGAACCTTTCAAACTGTTTACAAGTTATTTGTAAAGTATTTTGAACCAGGAGAATGGACATTAAAACAATGCTTATCTGTGGGCTAGGCTCTCAAATGGTGTGGTTTTCTAACAGGATTTATTGGGTAGGCCTATTTAGCTGCCCGCAGAGGGTTAAAACTCCTACAGCTTGCAGGCCACATAGACTCTTAATTACTGCACTCAGTTTAAACGTTGTAAAGAGTCACTTTGAAGTTTGGTGGTACTATTACCGTCATTAAACCTTTACATGTAAACATGTGTTGTTAGTTTCTGAGAAATGTATGTCATGTATGCATCTAGCACATCATAATTGCTTAAAAAATATTGGTTGATAAGTGTCTCCAGTGAATGATTTGGTGTACACATTTCGGGGAGGGGAGGTATCGAGTTCTGTTTTTAGAACGTATGGAATAGGAAAGGATTCTCGTGGGCGCACTGACACGAATTCACACTTGTCTACGCCGCCTCCCATCAGGTGAAAAACCAGAGTCTGGCATTTACTTTCGGCGGGCTATTTTTAGGATAAAGATCGCCTCTCCTACTCGTGCAAATCTGCAGAACAGAACAGACACAGGGTCTATGACGTTTAGCCACAGGTTCCCTTGCCAAAGTCATTCTGCATGGACACGAAGAACGGTGTTGTAGAAGCTGCAAAGACAACCTCGAGATGGGGATGTTAAGCACTCCCGCGCAGGCGGCCGAGGAGAGCGAGCTCCGGTGTGCGAGCCCCTGCACGCGCGGCGCCCTTCCCTGGGTACACAGATAACACAGTCAATCATTTCCGCCTGCTCGCCCGCCCCGAGATAAGTCGTCTGACCGCGGGGACCGAGGCCTGCTATTACGAAGACTCCTTTCCGTTCGGTCGAGCGCCCACTTCGGGGATCCGCCTGAGTCACCTGGAACGTGTGAGCCGAGCCGAGGGAGGCGCAGGCGCCCGAGGGTGGAGGGCCCGGACTCTGTTCAACCCAGCGACTGCCTCGGAAGGAAGAGGAGGGGCGACTGCGCGTGGGTAAGAGAAGGAAGAGGAGTCCGGGGAAGGGCAGGGAGGAGAGAAAAGGCACCCGGGAGGGAGAGCAGGGGCGTGGGGGC